TATTAAAAACACCCCTTTAGCATCTCATGAAAGCAATCCATTCCTATTAGGCTGAATATCAATTAATTTCATGAATCACTAAGTAAGTTGATATTAACAGACAGGAGGCAAGGAGCTTTTTTCTCCTCTTAGGAACAAAGCTGCTTCCTTCTCAAGGGCTTCACAAGTAAGATCCCAAACACCAAAATTCCTGCATTTAACAGATTCAAATACTGAAAAATAAAGATTTTGTGAGAACCTCTTCTATCCCTATAAACAGTTTAAATCTTCAAAAACAATACATGAAAAAAAAAAACTTTTCAAATGGAACAGAGACTGTAGACAAGCAACCAATTCTAATAGTTTAAAAAAAAAAAAGAAAGAAATAATTGAAAGGAAAAGGGTAGAAAGCAGCAGATGACCTAAGTTTCTAGGAAAACACAGGAAGGAAGATGTTTACAAGACAATGATGCACATTAACAGCATTCCAGTCAAAAAGGCAGAAAGGCATCTTACAAGAAACAACTAAAAAGGCTTCTGGAAGTTGTGCAAGTTCCACCAATTGTTGTGTGCCAACACAGACAAACCCTGCATCATACGGAAGAGGGGAAAAAAAAAGAATATATTTTACTCAAACTAGTGGAATTAGGTAAAGGTTAACAGCATTTTTTTAAAAAAACCACTGACGAAGGACCAAAACAAGGTAGCAAATAACATGTTGAGACTGGAAACACAACAGAAGAAATGTGGGTTTGTATCTACATGTGAAAAAGTAAATTACTTTTGTAAAAGTAAAGAAATAAAGTTTCAGATGGATAATATTTATGAATATGTGATACGAGTGGTTACTCTTATTTTCCAAAGGGAACTTAGATCGCCGGTAAGAAAAGTTTCTTTGCTTGAAGTATTGTTTCATTTACCATTTTAGCCATGACTGCAGTCATATTGGTATCCCAGGAGTCAGCTTTTGATATTTGGGGGAAATATGAATATAGCAATTTTTTTTTAACACTTATTGGTACTGAAGTTTGTTTCCACTCTGCACTTCTGCCTTTACAGGTGAGCTTTCTCATGCAGACCTCAAGCCCACTCTAGGTCCTTTCTGTGGGCAGGCACTTGCTTCAGTCTATTCCAGCAGGAACAGGGAAAGGTTCAGATGTCAGCTGACATCCACATCCCAAGGGAGCAGGCCTGGAGGGGTCTGGTCACACTAATAAAAGCAGTAAACATCTTTGCAATGAAGACACTCCAGCCCCACACGGAGCACAGCTGCACCAGTTATCACAGTCCCAGTTGAAGCTGTTCTCCTGGCAATTCTTCCTGCCCAAGGACCAGTTTTGACATCTCAATTCATCACGGTGAGGAGACCCAATTTCATCTCTCAGTTCACCTTCTACCTGAGAGTCAAGTAAAACCAAAAGTAAACCCCTAAAACAACCCAAAGCAAGTTTTCTCAGGTACTGGTCGCAGCTTGCCCCAAGGCAACAGCCAAGCCAAGCCCTGTGATAAAAATCTTGCCTCACCCAGCAATTTAAGTTCCTTGGAAGTTAAAGTGTCCAGGTCACGTAAAAATCAGCTCCAGGACAGCACAGCCTGGTAACCTAAAGCAGCACAGCCTCCAGAACAGAGCAGGGCAAGACACTCTCAGACCAGTGGATTACAGAGTGGTTTCCCACAGACATGGAAAGTGACTGTGGGCATCTCCAACCAGCAGCTGCATCCTCCTCTTTTAATGATGATGTTTATGGAATTCTGCATAGGTATTAGGACCTGAACTTTTTTGTCCCTAAGCTTTCCACCCCTTATTCTAAATGGGTAGTTACTGAGGTGCTGTACATATTCAGCAGGTGATGTTTACACAAATACAAAGAGATTTTCATTTGACAATCACTGACTTTTTACATTAAAAGCATTGTTCACATTTAATTTGGAACGTGCTTTTAAAAAGCATTAAAAAGTTTTCTACAACTGTTAAATTGTTTTAGGAAGAGTGGAAAGAGTCATATGAGTTTAAGATTACTGATTTTAAAGACAGTTTTTTGATGGGAGTGTCCTTCATAACATTTAATAACAGTACTCTGTACGTAAGAATCAAATTACTTTCTTAATATCGAGAGTTGCTGTGGCTCTGATCACACTAAAATACAGGAATTTATTTGTTATGTCTGTTTTGTCTTTTGATATTTCACTGCATCTTATTTCATTGTTGTGTTTTGGAACTTGAACTTAAAATTTTTCTACGCTTCATCTTATTACACCCAAATATTGTAGAACACAAGAGAGCTGGAGAAAAGGGAAAACCAGGAATATATTCCTTATTTACAAAAAGGAATATTTTCTAATCCTTTTCCAAAAACATAGGGTGAAAAAGACTGTACAAAAAGTTTACATAATACTGGATCTAAAAAATATGTATAGCTAATGATATAGGGAGAGGTATTTTGAAATCACACAACTCCAAGTCAAAGCATAAGAAAAATAACAGAACTAAACTACATGAGTTGACTTGCTTAAAAAACAGTTCAGTTATTTGTCTCTTCTTCCTTATCCAAGCACAAATGCCATGCTAGAGACTAACTGCCATTTTTCAGAAAGTTATCCACTCTCAAAAATTAAGTGGAATATTAAGACAGTATACGAAAAAAAAGTGACATAATGTGAAAAAATGCTACAAAACTGTACAAAGACTATTCCCAAACTGCATCTAAAACCAAGGCTCACACCAACTCTTGCCATCTTCTCAACATTTGTTATATTGAAATGAAACAACTGAAGAATTAAGGGGGGGGGAAGAACAACCCTGCAGGAAATGCTATACTATCAAATAAAGTCACCAACAAAAATCCACTTTCACAATTACATGTTGTTCCCCTGCTCACCTGTCACCCAAAACTTAGTGCCTCTGAAGAAAAAGAGAGCTGCAATTTCTCTAGAAATCTGTTGAAGAGGTAGAGGCTCTAAATTAAAACAGTCTATAGGAGGGTAGGGGAAGCCAAGAACAGGTAACAGGATTTTCTAGGCTTTATCCTTCATTATAGGTTATTTCAGGTCAAAAAGAGGGTGTTCACTGCCTGTACAAGTCAGAAAAGGTAACCCATTACTAACCCATATCATAGGACTAGCTATTTAAAGTTGCTTTAAATCGAGTTAACATGGTCATTTCAGGTGCACTGTACACTCAGCAGCCATCTCTTAACATGCTCAGTGCTCAATTCCTCATGTTTGGTTTTGTGCTTAACCCAGCCAGAAATACAGTTTGAGATACCTAGAGATCCATCTCATACTTACCCAAAAAATGAGCTTTTCTTTCAAGACCTATTGAAAGTAACACATTATTTTCCACTCCACCTCTGACTGTCACTTAAGAGATCTGAAGAAATATAAATATTTCAGTGACTTAAGAACATTAACTTAGAAAAAGCTCCCCAGTATCAAGCTGAACTCTTATTTCCCTCACTTTCAAAGGCAGGAAAATTTAATAGTTAGAGCAGCTGTGAGTTTACGTAACACATCTACAGGAGCATCACAGTTACAATGAAGGAGCACTAAGGATGTTTTCTTCATCAGATCAATCCCACGCCAAGACTTCTGAAAGTCTCCTCTAACTGCACTGAGTAACATGATCATGGAATCGAAGAAAACTTGGAAAACACCAAACGGCACACAGAAGCCTTTCTGAGGTCTGAAAGGTGGAAGCTATTTCACAAAATTCAACAGCAAACTCGTAACAGGTCAATGTTGGTATGACCACCATCCTCGCTCCGTGTTTCTTCTTCCCTCGGCCGAGTGTCACCAGGTGATATCAGGCCTGCTCTGCCCAACTCATACTTCTGCCAGGGGACAGAGCAGTTTACCTCAGCTGTAATGCTCCTGCATATTGGATGACATCATTATATATAGCCAGAGCAGCTAAGGCTTATCTAATTTAAAAAAAAAAAAAAAAAAAAAAAAAAAAGTATAGCTGTTCTGTGCTTTATTGCCCAGAGTTCTGGGCAGAAAGTGACACTGCCTACAGTAACTACTCTGTATGTACACAGCACTGAGGCCACAATACCTCACAGACCTCACACTGCAACAGCAACATTTAGCTCAGCTAAAAGGAGTTGTTCCATCTGTATTTAACATGCCTCCAAAATACAAATATTCCTCCGATTCGGCCCCAAACGACAGCACTGATCCCAGTAGTAGTGCTGTTCTTCCCACACACACACACACGTAAGAAAGCCAACTACAAAATTCCTGTTTCAAAATGCGCTGCTTTGTCAAAAGGGCCTTTGTTGCTATGATCTGCATGCTGGCAAAACAGAAAATACAAGAGAATATATACTGTTAAAAGGAAAACTATTCTAAAAAACAGGAAGTGTGCAATCCCTTAAAATAGTACAGGGAGGTACATACCTAAACACACAAGCTCAGAGAAACACAACCTGACATTTCCTACACGTTTAGAGTGGGCTTTGCACAAGAATTAAGCATAGTTAATTCTCTTCCACCCAGGAACTGGTAAGCCAACCCTCTGCCTCCAGAAGCACTGCTCAGCCTCCCATCCCCTTTAACAGACCGACAATCAGTCCGACAGATGCTTTTGGAAAAATCACCTCCAAAACAACGTTTGTTTTGAAGCAACTGCTACCAACTGGAGGACACAACAAGAAAAGCAGCACGTGCAAATTCCAATATTTCTATGAGTCAGTTCTGTTAAGATGAGTGAGTTGCAAGCTCACCCTTCTCCCCCACACCCTGTCTTTGTCTCTGCTATCTCGTTATGCAGCGCTGGTCTCATTTCCCTATTTCTCTAGGTAGTTGTTTGAAAGACAGGAGGGAGGAAGCACGCAGACACGAAAAACCCTAAACAAAGAAAAATCACAAGTACCGGCAGAGAACCCCAGGTCAGGGGCAGCTTCCCGAGCAATTTTTCAATGAAACTTTATTCCAGCTGATGGAATCCGTCCAATTACAAATCGTCCTCAAGCCCGGAGAGCCACACGCCGCCACCACCACCACCACAATCGGAATTAGAGCATCCAGCCAAATATATCCATGAAAAAATAATTTACAAGCACAACCGGTGCCACACCCCGAGCAAGCAGCAGAACTCGCACTGCAACAGAAGCGCCCGGTAACAAGTGCATTAAGTGAAAACTCTGCCTAATTCCTGTTTTACATGACTGTAAACATCACCTCACCGCGCCGCTACCATAAATGGTCCGCGGCAGCACAGATAAAGCCGTCACCGCTGTTATATCGGTATCACTTTTCTCCCGGTAAGTCCACGTTAACACTTTGCTCTATTTATCTGCGATCTCACTCTGCCACTTCGTAATACAGTATTGACCTATTTTCCAGGTGCTTAATTAATCTCTTTGCTGGCTGCCACGCTTATTAGACAGTTACTGCGTGTATTTTAAACTTAGTTTATAGGAACCTTTAGCAGATTAACGCTGTTACAGAATCATTATATCAGAAAGTAAGTATTCATAGTCCAGCCAGGCTTTTCTACTTTGTGTGAAATCGGAGATTAAACTTTCTGCAAATGATGTAATGGGAGGTAATACTGGGGGGGGGAAAAAAACCCAACCAAAGAAATATGCATTGTTATCAACAACTGTAGCTTTACTTAATGTAGTTGTGGGAAAAAATGTTATTAACATGAGAGACAATTTAAAGATACTAAACCGAAATAAACAAGGTTATACAGTAGTAAGAAGATGTAAAAACATCAGAGCACCATATAATTCCTGGGAAGGCAAGCCTGGGAGTCTCAAAACAACTAAGTTAACAAAAAAAGAAATGACTGCAGTTTCTGACATTTCAAGTCGGACGCAACAGTTAGTAACAAAAGTATAGCCTCAAAAGAAAGATATTTATATACACGTAAGCACATAGCACTGACGACGGAGGGCTTAATTTAAATAAAAATAATTTTAAAAACCCCCATCGCTATTTCCTACAGCGGTAAGCACATGCAAACGCACCTGCCAGCTTTACAATTGATATCGCGACGAATCCAGAACAAAACCCGCACAATCCCTGCCGCAACCATTATGGCAAAGCCTCCAGCAATAAAACCCCTCCGTTTTTCACGGAGCTCGCTCTTGGGAACTGACCAAATTTTAAAGCGTCCGCTTCCTTTCCAGTTGCTGCTATTTACCCCGGCCCTGGGCACCATTTGCCGCCCCAGCTCCCCCCACGGCGCAGGAGGGGTCCCGCGGGTGTCTCCTCAGGGGTCAGGGCGAGGGGCGAGTCCCGCCGGGACTACGCGGAGCCACCGCGGCCGCGAAAGCCGAGCAGGACCCGAGAGCGGGCGGAGCCGCGCCCGGGCACCACCCGCGGGACCCCCCGCCGGCCGGGTCCATACAAGGCAGGAGGAGGAGGAGGAGGAGGCGGCTCCCGGGAGAGGAGCGGGGCAGCGCCGGGGCAGCGCCCGCCAGGGGAAGGGAGCGGGGCAGCGCCGCCGCCGGCAGCGGGCGAGGGGCGGACACGCCTCCCCCGCCGGGCGGCGGCGGCCTCGCCCGGCACCCGGGGCTGCTCGGGGGAAGGGGAAACTTCGGGGACGAAGGCGACGGGGGAGGAGGAGCGGCGCTGCTCGGGCTCGGCGAGGGCGGCGGGGGCTCCGGGCAAGACGGGAGCGCCCCGGAGCCCCCGCGGGAAGGGGCCGATCGCCGGCGGCAGCGCCGCTGCCCGCCCGGCGGGGCCGGCCCCGCTCGCTGCCCGCCGCTCACCTTCACGGGTCGGGCCGCGCTGGCGTCCGCGCTGGAGCTGCCGCCGCCGCCCTGGGCATGTCCGGGAGCGCCCCGGGGAAGCGCCGCTCCGGGCGGGCTCAGCCGCTCAGCCCCGCCGCTCCTGCTGCTCTCGCTGCTGCTGCTGCTGCCGCCGCCGCCTCGGCCGCTGCCATCTTGTCCTGGCGGCTGGGAGGGAAGAGCCCCAGCTCAGCCCGCTCGGCAGACCGGGCCTCCGCCTCATCTTCCCGGGGAGGGACCCAGCCCGCCCCCGGCCGCCGCCTCCTCCGCCTCCGCCTCCTCCCGCCTCCGCCGCCGCCCTGCCCGCGGCGGCCTAGGGGCGCCCGCCGCCGCCCATCTCCCCGGAGCGGCGGGACGCGGCCCCGCCGAGCGCAGCGGAGGGGGCGCCGGCCC